AAAAAAAATTACAATTATGTGGTTCTGATCCTTTATGAGTTTCTTTGAAACTTGAAGAGATGTTAGGGATAGTGACAGCCTTAGTTACCTCATTACTTTTAATGAATGGGGGGATGGGGGATGCAATGAAAGTCATTGGAACAACATGGTTTGTATTTGGGTGAAATATGAAGAAAAATAACACATTATGCTAAGTGTAACAAAACAAAAACAATTCAACGTTCTGTTCTCTTTCTGGTGAAAGGTAATGAAACTTTATGCTAAATAAATTAACACACCCCTTAAAAAGTCATATCTAAGAAATGTCAACTATAATTTATTTGCATATGCCACATGGTTTACAATTTTGTTATGCAATGCAGTAATATTTTGCATAGATGCATGATTCATACGTAAACAGTAAACAAAATTTGATTTGCAACATTTCTAAATTTTTAAAAAGTTTTTTTAAGTTTTACATCTAATATTTAAAATTGAAGTTAAGTTATGCTGTGACAAAAGCACTTGTGCCTATTGAGTTATTTAGTACATTTTCCACACAGCAGGTTCATCTATTCTCATGAGGTTTCATTAGATCTGGTGTCATTTACAATTTTAATATTTCCTCTCTCTGTGTTGATTAGCGGCCCTACCTGCACCTTTCACTGTACATGTTTGAACGTGACTCATAATTAGGACTAGGCTTAAATCCAAGTGCTAACTAAAAGTCTAATTACTCACATCACCTGCTGTGCCTGAAACAAGATGCTTGATAAGCCTAAATCTGGGTCAGATGGTTGATCGTAAGACCCAAGAATCGTTCTATATGAACTATGAAGTGTAAAAGTCAAGCCTTAAAAGTACCAGCGATGTTATGGAGACTTATGTTACTCTCCGCTGACAGCTCCTGGGCCCAGAGGTGACGGCTAAGTCTCTTAAGTTATTGTCTTAATTTCATTGGCTGAACGTAGTGTGTCCTCTAGCACCCTGTTACTGATCTTGTTGGGTAAGTCGAAATCCCCAGCTAATCCCTCAGATACAGAGCTGACCAGTGGCCAGGAAAGACAAAAGTGTGTGTGTGTGTGTGTGTGTGTGTGTGTGTGTGTATCGACAATAACAACCGAAGTCAAGGGAAAGCTAGCTGTCATCTTGATCTATTCCCAGTCTTGATGAAGGCCTCTTGGTTGCAGAGAACTGTCACCTGGATAGTGCACTTGATGTCCCTGCGGCGCAAATGCGCTGTAAGGACTTTGTGTTTTCATATGTTGTTCATCCATGGTGACTGCGGGGTTTGTTTACGTCGCCTGGCCTTTGTGTTCGTCTGGCATTTTTTAAGAATTAAGCATAGTCCTGATGGTGAGCAAAAATCCCATGTCAATTTAGGATATTTATGTTACTTCACAGATGTCTTATTATGCCACTAAGCCTCCACTGGAAGCCTTGTAGTTTAAACAGCTGTGACTCTACATCCCCGGACAGATTATCATTGAACTTATTGAATATTTTTGACGTCATTAGTGTTGGAAAAGGCCACATTATTTACTTTGTCTTTTTGTGCACGGTATGCTGAATCATCCTCTTCATCCCTGTGTGCTTTTGCCAGTCAAGAGATGATGCATTACCATGCAGGCTTAGGTTGTATTAGCTCACAGCTGTTCGTAACTTAATGTCAAGTTTTATTAAATGTCAAAAAGTTCAAAGCTGCCTGTATGAACTCATTAGTGAATAAATTGCAATTGAATACACCTTTTCTGTGATTTGCATGTTTTTAATTTCTGTATTCAAATTTATTTTGATATATTTGGACGTAAAGTAAAAAAAAATATATCAGGGTGATACATTTGTTATTATATAAAAAAAAATAAAAAAAAGGAAATTCTTGAAAAGACATTCAATTTAAGTGATTTGGCCTAAACTTGTATTAATATTTCTTAGAAAGAAAGGAAATACATACATACATACATACATACACACTGCCAAATCAAACTGATATGGGTGACCATCATGCTAGCTAAATAATAAATTCATTACTTAATAATTGTTGCAACTCCCCAAAAACTTTGAAATGGTGACAAAAATTCATGATAAATAAATAGGCAAACAAACAAATAAATAAATAAAACATACTTAAAAAAATAAACATACTTAAAAAAATAATGATAAAGTCACATATTAAAGGTATAAATTAAAAAAGAATGTTATTATTTTTAACTTGGTGGTTACACAGTACAGGATATTTTTAGAGTTATTATTTTAAACCTTTATAAACTTTAAACTTTTTTTGAAAATTGTATAAAAGTTTATTTTAATTATTTTTAAATCATTTGAAATCAACTTGAATACATATAGGCCTAGCCTAGCCTAACTTGACACAGTTGTTTTAAACTAGATTTTTTTTTCTTTATGATGTTCTCGTTTGTTTGCCATTGACCTTAATATCGCATTTTAACCTGAGTGCACCTCAAGTGTTTGACAGAAAAATATTTTTTTATTAGAAGGACCACATTGACCTTAATGAGGTCTTTTGGAGACACATCATGAAATGAAGCTCTATCTATGCTCTTGCAGGAAGGTGACGTTAGTAATGGTTGGACTGGACAATGCTGGAAAAACAGCTACTGTCAGAGGAATCCAGGGAGGTAAATATTCATCTTAATATTTTTGGAGTATTTTTTATGTAGTCCCCCCAGATCGATCTCACAAGGTATACTTCTGTGACTGTCATAGAAAGTCCTTTAGATGTAGCACCTACAGTGGGCTTCTCAAAGGTGGACCTGAAGCAGGGGAAGTTTGAGGTCACAATCTTCGACCTGGGTGGCGGGAAGTGCATCCGCAGCATTTGGAAAAACTACTACTCTGACTCTTACGGAGTGGTGTTTGTTGTGGACTCCAGTGATGTTCAAAGGATCCAGGAGACCAGAGAAACAATGGCTGAGGTTCTCCGGCACCCTCGTATTGCAGGCAAACCTGTATTAGTGTAAGTTTTCAAAACATGACATGTTCTTACTGTTAAACGTAACTTAATGTCTAGACTTAACATTACACTACCATTCAAAAGCTTGGAATTAGTAGGATTTTTAATGTTTTTCAAAGAAGTCTCTTATGCTCATCAAGGCTGCATTTGTTTGATCAAAAATACAGTAAATAAAAAATGAAATATCGTAAAATCGTATTACAATTCAAAAAAATAACATATTTGTATTTTACTATACTTTGAAATATAATTTATTCCTGTGGTGGCAAAGCTGAATTTTCATCAGCCATTACTACAATCTTAAGTGTCACATGATCCAAATAAACATTATTCATTAATAAAACATTAAAAATCTTACTCATCCCAAACTTTGAAATGGTAGTGTACGAGTGAATGTCTGCAGATCATCAAACATGGGAGATGAGACATAAAACATAAAGCATAAAGGCCGTAGATAAAATGAATACGCCCTGTGCTCTCATTTTCTAATGACATTGATAATAGAAAAAAAAAAATATATATAAACTATTTATAAAGCATGCTCATATTGGTTTGTTGTGTACTAACCTTAATTGGCAATCACTCAGTAAAGCTATAAAGGTGTATGGACCTAATAATCTTAAAAAATAAAGAAACTTGGGCCAGTTTAGTAATTAGTGATGTATTGTCATTATGTATTAAGTCATCATAGCTGGTCTTCAGTGACAAATGCAAGTAACTTTAATGCATTTACACCAGTAAATGACAAGTATTTATGCTGATATTGTGCAAAATCCTTGCCTATGATAGCCTACATAATGATGAGATATGCAGATTTGCGTTGAGGGTGAAAATTAAAATACCTTATGTTCACATACCACATTAAGTGTTTGGATATACAGGGGAAAGTAATGAAAAAGGACGTTGTTTAGGAGGCTGAGATCTTTAATCATTTGTTTCTGGCTTTAGTCCTTTTCTACCTGACCTACCTGAAGATTACATGTTGGGCAGCACATCCTTGTTGATACATTTATCTTACTACACCACCCTGTGCATGCCTTGACAGTTTTGCATTAGTCCAGCTTTTCTAACAGGAAATAATACTACCTGACAGAATGATTTCAATGGTACACCTGTAAAAAGATCTTGGCACCTGGGGGCCGATTCTCAATTTCCCCTGGTGCTTGAGATAATAAACCTATTGATGTGCTTTTCTAAACAAGCTGTCTGTGGTTCATGTTCGATTGGGTCCTTGTTCTTGTTGGTATTTGGTAATTATACCAACACCACCATGTTGGATTCTTTACTATTTCATCTCTCTTAGCAATCTGTGGCCAGTTGCATAAAATGTTTAGACTAGTCTTACAAGTTAATCATCCAATTATTTATTTATTTTTTAAAAATTTGAAGATTGGTCATAATTTTTAAGTCAGTTACATAAAAATGTAGACTGGTCTAATTTGACTCCGAAAATTAAGACTCATTACTAGTAGTGTTGTCACCAGGGATTGAAATTAACTTTTTCACTCACCAGCCAATTTGGCTACTAAATTTTTAAGTTACCGGCCATTCATAACTTCTACTAGCCAAAAAATAAATAAATAAACCAACAGCTTGAGGCTGTCTACACTGGGCATGACAAAGTGACCGTTGCAAATCATTTTGTGTCAGTACTAGGGGTGTGCGATATTGACAAAAAATAATATCTCAATATTTTCTGGGATTTTATCGATAAAGATAATTAGACAATATTTTGCTGAGTGTGTTATTGTGCTGATATCTTAAGGACTACCGTGGACAGCTGACTCCTAAAGTTTTTGATATTCTTCATATTCTGTGTGGTCAGTTCACAGCAGTGATAGAAATGAATCTTTTCCAATAAGTTTAAATTGATTTTTAACTTTTATGGGCATTCTTACCTTTATAAAGCCATTTTTTTCTAAAAGTGTACATCTTTTGAGTCAAATTCTTACATTTAATCAGTCACTTAAAATAATAATACATTTAGGCTGTTACTAAACAAATTAAATCAGTATCAATAAAATGTGCAGAAGTTGCATATGAAGTGGCATTTAGATGCATTTACACATGTTATTACACGAGTCATTGCGATTGAACCGAATCATTTAAACGGTTGATTAATTCAGGAACGAAACAACGTCATGTTGCTCAGAGACGCAAAACTGTGCTGTGGCTGTATTTGGAATGCTTTTTCTGTTGTTGTTGTTGGCGAAATAGCGCAAAAACAGCCAATATGGTGTCTATAACGTAAGTCTCTTGATATTAACTTATTGTTTACCTGTTCCTTTTTCCCTAATTAAGGAATAAACGAACCGTACCTCAAATACACAGCCAATGCTAGACACACAGAATTAACGAGTAAGATACCAAAACTAATCTCAGCAAACCAAAACACACACACACAAACACACCGCCGCCCCACGAGGTTCGCGGGAGGACCTTTTAAACCGGCAGGGCAACAGCAGATTGGGCGCAGAGGGTGACGTCACAATTATGACTGGCAGCCGACAGGTCCAATCAGGAACCTAAGAGCGAGGCAGCAGAAACAAGACGAGAGGGTGGGAAGGAAGAAACACATACGCATAGCACGTAACACCTCCACCCTCAAAAGCAAACTATATGGAATCTCAAACATAAGTTTGCTACATCAATGCCTTAAACTCTTGACAGGGCATCCGCTATAATGTTGTCCACACCCTTCTTGTGCTTGATAACCAGATTATAACCCTGTACAATCAAAGCCCATCGCATCAAGCGTTGATTTTGATTATACATTCGCGACAGGAACACTAAAGGGTTATGATCTGTGAAAACGCTAACTGGAAGATTACTGGACCCCACATAAACATCAAAATATTGCAAAGCCATTAGCAATGCTAAAGCCTCCTTTTCAATAGTCGAATAGTTCAACTGGTGCTTATTGAACTTGCGTGAGAAATAACAAATAGGATGATCAATACCATCCTCATCTTCCTGAAGTAGTACTGCCCCCGCACCAACCGCACTCGCATCCACTTCCAATTTATAAACCAGAGAGTTGTTCGGGGCTGCCAAAATGGGTGCGCTGCACAGAAGATTTTTGATGGATTCAAACGCGTACTGACATTCATCAGACCATATAAAAGAGCAGGATGGACTAAGCAATGAAGTCAAAGGATGTGCGATAGTGGAAAAATTTCTACAAAAGCTACGATAGTAGCCAGCCATACCCAGAAATCTCCGGAGTTCCCGGCGGGTAGTTGGAACTGAAAATTCGGCTATAGCGGCCACCTTCACTTCAATCGGGCCACAGCCTCTAAATCAAAATCTGCCATAGCCTACTTGCATCGACCAACCATCCACGAAGACCAAAAAAAAAAACCTGATGCACCACTAACCATGTGCATGGTCACTCCGCTGTCACCACCAGCAATAATAAATGTCCCTGGACATTAAAAATTATCCCGGACGGCTGTAGGTGTGCCCCTCATACTTTTTGCAATATACTAGATAATGTCATGATGTCTCACGAGTTCAGCAGGCCTATTTGCACTAAACCTGCGCAGTTTTGGCTTGCATGAACTTCCCCAAGAAATTAATGAGTGAACATAACTTACGAAAAGTAACCCGCCAAATTGGCTAGTGATTTGACAGCGTTACCCGCCACAGCTGATTTTTACCCGCATTTGGCGGGTGTTAATTTCAAACCCTGGTTGTCACGGTACCAAAATTTCAGTATTTGGCACCAATACCAGTGAAAATCCACAGTTCTCGTTACCAATTTCGGTACCAAAGCAAGACACAAAAACATGCTAATTAAAACTAGGGATGCGCCGATCCGATATTCATATCGGGTATCGGCTCCGATACAGCTATTTTTTTGTCGGATCGGGTATCGGTCAGAGAGGGCCGATCCAAATCCGAGATTGTGCATATTATTCTGTGTTACTTCTGAAGCCATACGATAAGGGTTACTCCACCCCAAAATGAAAATTTAGTCATTAATCACTTACCCCCATGTTGTTCCAAACCCGTAAAAGCTTCGTTCGTCTTCGGAACACAATTTAAGATATTTTGGATGAAAACCGGGAAGATTGTGACTGTCCCATTGACTGCCGATTAAATTACACTGTCAAGGTCCAGAAAAGTATGAAAGACATCGTCAGAATAGTCCATCTGCCATCAGTGGTTCAACCGTAATGTTATGAAGCGACGAGAATACTTTTTCTACGCGAAGAAAACAAAAATAATGACTTTATTTAACAATTCGTCTCCTCTGTGTCTCTCCGCATCACCGTAGCGCCATTCCGCAGAACGCAAACAGCGTACGCTCTTCTGTGTCAGCCGCGCTGCACGGATGGGCTGTTTTTGTTCAAATCAAAGCGTAAATACACATAGAAACTATATCCCTTTAATGTGAGCTACATATGAATATTTAAGTCCTTACATTAAAGTTCACACAAACTCTTTTCTCCGCTGTGGCTGTCAGTCATTCGTTCAGCCTTTAAACCCTGGTCGCATTCAGTTACGAGACAGTCAGCTCGGTAAAGCTCTCTCCAAGATCATTCTGTGTTCCCATTATTATACTTGATTTGTAAATAAATGTCTATGATTTTGCCAAAATGACTTTATCTTCTTGCCGGAGTTTAATGTTGTTTTGTTACTTGCTACCGGGTGTCTGTGAGAACAAAACACGGGCGTAGAAAAGACTATAAATAGTTTTTTTTAACGTGCACAGTAACTGAAATTTAAAACTGTTAAAAGAAAGGCTCAATAACTGTTGCACAGATATAATTCACTACGCATCAATTTCTCTTCCCTTTGTGCTTTGCACTTTTTAATGCAAAGCGCTGCGTGCTGTGACTCCGTGTTGCTTCAAGCGCATCATTCTGCACACCGGATGCGCGTATTGTAAGCGCTTCGTGCCACACTGTATTTGTTTTGTCCTGTCGAATCAATCATATGTTGGTGCCTTATTAAAAAATATGCTATACATTTAAAAGAAATGTATTTTAATTTTACAG